ATTGCTTCTGAAAAATTACAAAGAGAAGATTCTATTAATTATCTAAGATGGGGTCACAAAAAATTCAGCCACAGAAAGTACAAATCAGGAGAAATCAATTAAACTCTTAAGGATTTTCAAAAATGTGTGGCGATATTAACTGATTATGGCCCATAATCAGAATGACAAGTCAAGAATTGAGTAATTTATTTCAAATCTAGCAAGGTGATAAAGGCTCAAATACTCCAATAAAATTATCATCTGGAACCAAGAGAGAATAGACTCTGCTAGAAAAGAAATTACAGGATGCACATGTGGATTGTGTAGGTCCAGAACTCAATTGTGTTCTAGATATTTTACCTTCTACACATTCTCACACAAGAAATAATCCACAGAGAAAATATCATAGAATGGTTATTTTTTACTATAGAAACAGAGTAAAAATTAAAGACCTGTGTAGAAAACATTTCTGATTAGATTCTGAAAGGAAAATTGACACTACATTAATTAACAGGAATACACCCAGCAGGAATAGAGGTACCTTTTAATAATACTGAGTTATTTTTATGGACAGAAAATGAACATTTGCAAAGAGCTTCCAGAAATTTTTTGGCAGAGTGTAGCAACGAAATTCTCACAAGCAGGAGAATTCAGCTTGTAAAAAGAACTAGCTGAAAAAAGAAGATTCTTCTTCATATTGAATGAGGAACAAAAATTTATGGTGATCCTACATTCTATACTGATGCAAACAAATCAGGAAAGACAAATTATAAGTCAGGAAATTTAAGTAAAGTGGCTCAAAGTTTTTATGAATCTGTTAAAATGTCAGAGTTATATGCTATTTTCATGGTATTATTAAAGTTTCCATAAACTTTTAATATATTTACTGACTCTGACTAGAAATGCAGGTTAATAGTCTGTCACCTATTACAATCAAACTTAAAGTCATGTTAGGTATGTTTTAAATAGATATATTTTAAATAGACAGGTATTCTTCTAACACTTCAGTGATCTACAGAATATGGCATTTAAGATGTTTTAATAACATAAATTTGTGTGTGTGTGTGTATGAGAGAGAGAGAGAGAGAGAGAGAGAGAGAGAGAGAGAGAGAGAGAGAGAGAGAGAGAGAGAGA